AAGGGGCTTCCATGAAGAGCTGCTCATCCTTGTACACCTGCCCAGACACTACCGGAACTACTTCAACATGGAGTCTCGGACAGCTATCTGCTCTTACGCATCCGAAGGCTTGAACTCGTGGTGGGAAACCATGACGGTCATGGCCAGAGCCTTATAGCGGCGATGTATTCTCCGTAAGTCTCGCCGTTGGATACGCCAAAACTGCGAAGACAATCAATCCCCGAGCTCTTGTCTTGAGTGTCCCAGGCAGCCGCCAATTTCTGGATGAAGAAGGCGTACGTCGAGGGCCCTGCCGGTTCCTTGCGCAGATGGTTTTCTACCTGTAGGAAGGTGGCATGAAGAAATTCCAGAGTGGCACGGTTGGTGGTTTGGCCTTCAACGACAGCAGCACGGACACGTTTGCGCAACAACGGAAGCCATCCGGTGACCCAGGTGGAGGAATTGAAAGTCTGCTTGCGCTTGACGTCGCTTTTGTTGAGGATCTCTGTGACCACACCCTTGCAGCTAGACGCGAAGCGAGCAAATTTCATCAGGATCAGGACCCAGGGGCAAGCGTGTGACACTATCAAGTTGTTCCGGCTTCAGCTTGTCCATCTTGTCTTGAATGCGGATGGTGTCGGCCTCCGTTGCAGCGGCGTCCACAGCGTCCAGAGCGTCCTGCCTCGCTCTCGCTCCTGTGAAAGTCAAAGGCAAACCAGCATCGTCCTGTGGCAATGGTGATGCCGCTTGACTCGGTGGCTCGACGATGTGGCCGGTTGCAGAGCTAGGATCAATCAGGACAGACGCACGCTGGAGCGGGGGGGCGATACCACCAAAGGCTGTTGCAACAGGGCTGGGACTGTCGACGCTGACGGTGCCACCGCAGGCCCGACCAGTACTGTCGCCGATCTCGAGGCTGATGACGATGATCCTGACGTGGCCCTGGCAGCATTTTCGGCACGAACATGCGCCCTGCAGGAGCTCCCGAAATGCTCGAAGCGTGGTCTTGCAGCGGTGTCAGATGCGTTGGTGGGGAAGAAGATGGGGCAGGTGGTGGCACGCTAGGAGCGTGGGAGGGCACAGGAGGTTGTACATTCGCGTCGGCAGCAGCATCCACTACTTGATTTGCTCGCAGGAGAGTGNCAGGAGGTTGTACATTCGCGTCGGCAGCAGCATCCACTACTTGATTTGCTCGCAGGAGAGTGAGTACTTGTTCCAACAGCATTTCAGTACGGGAAGCCGTAGTCGAGGCGTGAGATGCAGCATGGCGCGGTGACTCAATACGTTCGTCCAAAGGCAAGGAAGATGTGGGATGATCCA